GAGAGGAGGGTGTCAGCTGCCGTCAAACCTAAAAACTGTGAGTCGTATATATCACAACTGACTCTTATTATCTCTCTCTCTCTCTCTCATCGTCTGTGCTTTATTCTATTATTCATAACTAATTAACTAATGTGTTTGTTCCCATACACAGGTGACATTGTTACTTAATTGGATTAGTTACCTGGGTCTTAATTGGTTGTTTGTTTATTTCAATCACTACCTTATTTCACCTAAGGATTAACGACCCTAACACCCCCACACTTTTTTCCCATCCATGATTTTTCCCCACACATGACTTTTTTCCCCAACAAATGACTCTTTTTCCCTACCATGACTGAATTTTTTCCCCACCCATGACCGTTTCCACACCCATCACGTGACTTTTTTCCCCATCCACACTTTCTTCCCATCACTTTCTTCCGCCACTCTACACTGTCGCAGTATGTTTTACCACTATCTGACGCACGACACCAAAATTTATGGCGCCAATAACTTTCTCTCCGCCAAATTTTAACTCTTTAAAAATGTACATTATTATTGTTGTTTTTTTGGCGGAGGTTTAATTTACTTGTTTGTTTTGTTTGTTTGTTTTTGTTTTCTTTGTGTTTTTTGTTTCTGTCTGTGTTTGGGTTGAGTTTGTGTTCGTTTTTGGGGGCTTGATGGTCTCTCTCTCTCTCTCTCTCTCTCTCTCTCTCTCTCTCTCATTAACAGGTACACACACACTAGGGATCACCTGTAGCTTAATTATTCATATATTTTATAAACTCATTTAGAAAGTTTATTTAGATTTGTTTTAGAAAGTAAGAAAGTCCAGTTTCAGATGTCACTTTAGAAAGTTAATTTAGAAAGTTAATAATGAAAACAGTCTAATCTAATCTAGAGCAGTTATATAAAGAAGTCATTTAGAAATTTTAAATGGAAAAAAAGTTAAATTTCTAGTTGGAAAGATTACATCGAAAGTTAATAATAGAAAGTGGCTTATTTAAATAGTTAATGATTAGCTGAACTTTTTTTTAATCTGATACAAATGCACTTCTCTCTCTCTCTCTCTCTCTCTCTCGTGTCTAAATATTTCACCCTGTTATCAATTCTCGTAACTTATTTTCTTTACGTATCTACAAATGTTCTCCTCATCGTTAATTTACAAAGCTATTCGTTACGTATTTAGTAATTATGTAAATTAATGTAGGTCTATTTACACTTTTACAGATACGATCATTTAGTGTTCTTAATTAAGTTTATCTATGTATTTACTTATCTATTTTGGCCATTAAACTCTCATTATTTTTATTTTTTAGTCTGTGTCAACCCTGATTCATGAACTGGAAATACTAACTGTAATAATCAAAATATATGTAGTTCCATTTTATGTAGAAGAGTTATTTTGCTATAATATTCAACGCTTATTCGTGAACAGGAAATAATGACAGAAATATTCAATATATAAGACGTTCCGGTTTATATTAAATTGTTCTTTTAATAAAATATGCAAAATTGATTCATAAACTGAAATTAATAACTCAGATAATCAGAATATCCATAGTTCCAGTTTATATAAAAGATAAACCAGACTCATGAACAGGAAATAATAACAAAAAACAAATATAAAACATCCAGGTTACGTAAATTAGTTCTTTTAGTGATATAATAATTTGTCCAAGACGAAATAAATATGAAAATAATCGAGAGAAAAATAAAATGGTGGACTATCGTATAATAATCAAATGAAAATTTATAATGAACTGTTGTAAAAGTATCATATGAGAATCAGAAGTCAAATAAAGGTCCGTCGTCCACCAAAAACGAACCACAGACGTCAAATAAGAATTAATCATTCATATAGACCGTCTCAGAAATCAAATAAATATCCTTTATGCACCAGAAAAAAGTCAGGAGTCAAATGAAAGTTAAACTTCCGCCAAAATAATGTTCGTAGCTCAAATTAGAGTCTATATTCTTAACGATAATCAAGTTAAAAGTCAAACGAGAGCTATAACGCCACCAAAACAACCACAAGAGTCAAATGAGAGTAATAAAACCACAAAAAAACAAAATCATAAGTCAAATGAGAGTTTCTACACCATCAGGTATAAAGTCTCAAGTCAAATGAGAATCCATCTGGCTGCCAAAACAAAAATCGTAAGTCAAATGAGAATCCATCCTCCACCAAAAATAGAGTCATAAGTCAAATGAGACTCCATCTTGTACCCCGACCGCCCCTCCTTATGGTAAAGCACCGCATTACGTCAACTTTCTCAAAAAAAAAAGAAGCTGTTTTTAAATCTTTGTTTACATGAGTCTCTGCTCTCTTGTGACGCCATCTTGATTTTTTTTAGAGAGATTTTGATATTTTGGTGAATTTTTGAGATAATGGAAGGAATATTTTTGTTGTTTTTGTTTGTTTATGTTTGATTGATTTGTTTGTTTTGTATGTAAGGCTGAAATTATTGTAATTATTATTCCTTTTCCTCCTCCTCCATTCTTTCCCTTATCCTCACCCTCTCACTTCTCCCCCCTCCCTCCTCCTCCCCTCACCCTCACCACTCACCCTCACCTCTCATTCACTCACCTCTTTTACTTCTAACTTCACCCCACCCCTCACCCTCTCACCCCTCACCCTCACCCTCTCACCTCTCACCCCTCACCTCTCACTCCCCTCATAACAGTTGTGTTGTACAAATTAAATGAGAAGTATTTGTGCGCCGCCATAAAGCGACCTAATGTAGTGTAATCTGAGGTGATCTGTCCTGGGGGGTGAGGGAGAGGGATGAGTGGGAGAGGTGATGAGGGAGAGAGAGAGAGAGAGAGTAAATATACGAGAAAATAGACAAATAAATAACTACACTATAATACAAACATACAAATATATACATAAATAATTACACATATACACCAATGTATATGTATATAAATAACATACAAATATATAAACAGAATGATTAAAATATATATGGGTATTATCGATGACCCAGTATAAAGAATGTATATATATATGTTTATGGCCAGGCAGCAGCAGGAGATGTGTGGTAATGTGGGAGCCAGTTTAATCAGAGGTTTTATGTGTACAGAACAAAAGAACCATTGTGTTTACTGAAGACCACAGCTGAGGCTCCTAGAGAAAAAATAATAGTCTCTCCTTAAAACGTAAACAATAAACAAACAGATAAACAGACAGATATACAGACAGACAGACAGAGAGACAGACAGACAGACAGACAGACAGACAGACAGACAGACAGACAGCATAACAACTAACAAACTCTCAAAATATAAAAGTAAAAAATCGATAGGAAAAACATCCAATCACCAGTTTCCCGTAAAAAAAAAAAAATAGGCCAAAGTTTTAGAACAACTAAAATATCCTCAACAAAAATATAAACTCTGGTAACATTGGAACCTCTGCCCGTGGTGGTCCCGGCCGAGGTTATAAAAGACCCGCTCTCTTGTTGTCATTCTCCAGATGAGCAGAACCCACCAAGCCGGACGGATGGTATGAGAAATTACTCTTCGATTCACTACCCTCCCTCCCTTCCTCCTCCCTCCCTCTCCCTCCCTCCGTCTCTCCCTAACCACCTACCCTCCCTCCCCCTCCCCTTCCTTCCACCCTCCCTCTCCCTCCTTCCCACCCTCCCTCCCTTCCTCCCTTCCTTCCCTCACTCTCCTTTCCTCACCCCTCACCTACCTTCATCCTTGCCTCCTTCCCTCACTCCCTCACCCATCTCTAATGCCTCCTCTTTCCTCCCTTCCCCATCTCCTTTCATCCAATCATCCTCCTCTTCCTTACCCTCCTCACCCCATTATCCTTACCCTCCTCCCCTCCCCAGGCTTCTAAAGGGACCATTTTTCAAGCCTATTGTCACCCCCTGAAGGGTAGTCGGAGGGGGTGGAGGAGAAAGAGAGAGGGGATAATGGAAGTAGAAGAGGTAGGAGGAGAGAGGGGTGGTATGGGGATAGGAGGTGATGATAGAAGGGTGAGACAGGATAGGAGGTGGAGAGGGGTGTAGGGGGGTTAGTAGGGGAATTAGGGAGGGGTAGAATCCAATACGGTGAAGACAGAAAAAATGATTAGTTTACAAAGATTCACCGGAGAGTGAGGCATAACGATTGGAAGGTCGGATTGGTGTATTGATTTGATGGGCAGAAAATTGGGTAGCAGAAGGAGGAGGAACTGGGTGAGGGAGAAGGAGAGGGTGAGGGAGAAGGAGAGGGTGAGGGAGAAGGAGGAGAGGTGAGGGAGGAGAAGGAGAGGGGTGAGGGAGAAGGAGATGAGGTAGGATGGAGGGCGTGGGAAGAGAAAGGAGGAGTGTGTGTTGGTGGAGGAAGGCGTGGGAGGAGAAAAATTACAGGTAATAGTGTTAATTAAGGAAGCAATAAACAGGTGAGAGAGAGGCAGCCTCCTTCACCATGATTTAATGACCTTACCCACGGCATCCTCAGTAGTAGTAGTAGTAGTAGTAGTAGTAGTATTCCACCTACGTCTGGCTGCCCCCACCCCGTCATAAACTACTGTCGACACGGTAATGACGGCCAGGGACAGTCATTAGCTAGTTCACCACCACCGAGTTTTGAACCAATCAAGACACTGGTGCCGAGAATCTCTCCAGAGTTTCTTGTATCTTAAATACCCGGAACACAGGAGCTGGCCATCAGTCTAGTCTGTGATCTGCTCAGGGGATGTGCCACCACTGACAGCTGCTCTCTGTCTCTTACCTAGAAGTATCTGTCATGAGTACTGTGTGTGTGTGTGTGTGTGTGTTTCATTCTCTATCTATATGTAAATACTTTTTCTCTTGTAATCTGAGCTTCCTTTATGCTCCTACCTCCCTAACCCCCTTCACCCCCCTAACCCCCTCTCACCTCCCTCACCCTCCCTCTGCCTCACCCTCCCTAACCCCCACCAACCCCCTCCCTCCCCCATTCCTAACCCTTCCTCACCTCCTCATCCCCTGACCCTCCCTGACCCCCTGACCTTCCATGACCTGACCTGACCTGTGTTACAGATGAGTGGAGAGGCCAGCACAGTGGAGGGTTTCTACATCCGGCTCCACCATGTGTCACGTGACCACCACCCCTCTCCGGCTCAGGTCACTGCTGCCGGTGTTAAGCCCAGGATAAAAGGTTAGTGTCGTCATCATTGTCATCATCATTATCATCATCATTATTGTTGTCATCATCATTGTTGTCATCATCATTATTGTTGTCATCATCATTATTGTTATCATCATTATTAGTGTCATCAGTAATGCTATCATCATTATCAATATATATCGTCATCGTCATTGTTATCATTATCATCATTGTCGTCATTATCATCGTTATTGTTGTCAGTCAGTAGTCAAACCTCCTACCTTCATTTATTTATGTTTTACTGGTCAGTATGTCAGTAACTCTGCCAGTTAATTAATCAGTTAAGAAGTCAGTCATTATAGTCAGTCATTTAAAATGCCTCTCAGTCAGTCAGTCAGTCAGTCAGGTAAATATTCAATCACTCACTTAATTAGTCAGTTATTCAGCCAGTAGGTCAGCCAGTAGGTCAGTCAGTCAGTCAGTATCACCCTGCCTCCCCCCCTCACCACAGGTCTGCCACCACCACTACTAAGTCAGGCAGGTAACTCTACGGTAGTGACTGTCCTTAACGCTGGCCCAGGAGCATCGTCTTACGTTCTTCACGGCCTCTACCACTACCGCACCTACACCGTCTTCCTCGTCCCCTTCTTCAAGACCTTCGAAGGCCACCCGTCAAACAGCCGCACCTTCGAGACTCCAGAAGCAGGTGAGTGAGGTCCTTTTGGGTTCCAGGTCCTGTTTGGTTTTGGGTTGGGTTGGGTTTGGATTGGTTGGGTCTGTGATGATTAGTGTAAACAGTGTTCCAGGAGCTCTAAGTCTGTGATGATTAGTGTAAACAGTGTTCCAGGAGCTCTAAGTCTGTGATGATTAGTGTAAACAGTGTTCCAGAAGCTCTAAGTCTGTGATGATTAGTGTAAACAGTGTTCCAGAAGCTCTAAGTCTGTGATGATTAGTGTAAACAGTGTTCCAGAAGCTCTAAGTCTGTGATGATTAGTGTAAACAGTGTTCCAGAAGCCCTAAGTCTGTGATGATTAGTGTAAACAGTGTTCCAGAAGCCCGAAAGCTGTGATAATTAGTTTAAATTGGTTATCGGGCGCCCTCAATCTGTGATGATTAGGATAAAATCGTTGCTGTTGACGCCTGAAATACGTGAGGATTAGTTAACAATAAGCTGTGATAAATGACTGTAGGATGGCTGTGCTGTGTGGTAAATGACTGTAGGATGGCTGTCGTGTGCTGTAAAATGACTGTAGGATGGCTGTGTCGTGTGCTATAAATATGTCTACAAGATAACTGTGTCGTACTGGCTGTAAAATATGTCTACAAGATGGCCGTATTGTGCTGTGCTGGATGTAAAATATAGCTGTAGGATGGCTGTGTCGTGTGCTGTAAAATATAGCTGTAGGATGGCTGTGTCGTGTGCTGTAAAATATAGCTGTAGGATGGCTGTGTCGTGCTGTGTTGTATACGTGTAGATGTGTGATTAGTTAGCTGACTGCTGTACCAAGTTTGGTTCTCATTAATCTCAATATGTCAGCCGGTGGAAACTTAACCTATTGTCTTCCTTCAATTAGCAGCTGAGAGATGGACGGAGAGAGATAGAGAGAGATAGAGAGAGATAGAGAGATGGGAGATAGAACGATAGGGAGGGAGAAAGATGGAGATAGGGAGAGAGAACGATAGGGAGGGAAAAAGATGGAGATAGGGACAGAGAACGATAGGGAGAGATGCAGAAATAGAACTACAGGAAGAGAGACAGAGAGATAAGGAGAGAGACAACAAGAGACAGAAAACGACATGAAAGAGAGAGAGAGAGAGATTGACAAAGACAGAGATAAACTGACAGAAACAAGAGACAGGGAGAGGCAAAACGAACGAGAGACAACATACACACAAACAGAACGTATGTATATAAATATCCTAGACGAATATACACCACCTGTTCTATCATACACACATACACACACATACACTGGGCTCAACATACACCACCTGTTCTATCATACACACATACACACACACAACACTTTTCTCAACATACACAAACCCATCCTATCATACACACATACACACACATACACTGGGCTCAACATACCAACGTGTATTTATCCCAGACACATACAGATATAACAACAACTATTTCTCTTACACATACACATACCAACAACTATTTCTCTTACACATATACATACCAACAACAACTATTTCTCTTACACATATACATACCAACAACAACTATTTCTCTTACACATATACATACCAACAACTATTTCTCTTACACATACACATACCAACAACAACTATTTCTCTTACACATATACATACCAACAACTATTTCTCTTACACATACACATACCAACAACAACTATTTCTCTTACACATACACATACCAACAACTATTTCTCTTCACACATACACACCAACAACAACTATTTCTCTAACACATACCTCAACAACTATTTTGCCACACACTCATACACAAATATTGCAGAGTATCTCGAGGCACATTTCACCTCACCTAAGGGCCGGGGGAGGCACCTCACCCAGGAGCCTGGGTGGGAGAGGCACCTCACCTAGAGCCTGGGGAGAGGCACCTCACCTAGGAGCCTGGGGGAGGGCACCTCACCTTGGAGCCTGGGAGGGGGAGCTGATTGCCTCGTTCAGTTCAGTTTGGGAGGAGATTACACGAGTCTCCTGTGTAACTTGAGACTAGTGTCTCTCTCTCTCTCTCTCTCTCTCTCTCTCTCTCTCTCTCGCTCCTCTGTAGTCTTTCAGTGAGAGACAGCAACAACAACAAACACCACAACCACCCACCACCACAACAACCACCACAACAACCACCACCACCACCACCACCACCACCACCACCACAACCACCACCACCACCACCACCACACCACAACAACCACCACCACCCACCACCACCACCACCACCACCACCACCACCACACACCACCACCACCACCACAACAACCACCACACCACCACCACCTCACACCACCACCACCACCACCACCACCACCACCACCACACCACCACAACCACCACCACAACAACCACCCACCACCACCACAACCACCACAACAACCACCACCACCACCACCACACCACCACACAACAACCACCCACCACCACCACAACAACCACCACCACCACCACAACAACCACCACCACACCACACCACCACCACCACCACCACCACCACCACAACCACCACAACAACCACCACCACCACCCACCACCACACCACCACCACAACAACCACCACCCACCACCACCACCACCACCACCCACACCACAACCACCACCACAAACCACCACCACCACCACCACCACACCACCACCACCACAAACCACCACCACCACCACCACAACAACCACACCACCACCACCACCACCACCACCACCACACCACCACCATCACCACCACCACCACCACCCACCACCACCACCACAACCACCACCACAACCACCACCACCACCACCACCACCCCCACCACCACAACCACCACCACCACCACCACACCACCACCACAACAACCACCACCACAACCACCACCACCACAACCACCACCACCACAACCACCACCACCACCACCACCACCACCACCACCACCACACCACCACCACCACCACCACCACAACCACCACCACCACCACCACCACCACAACCACCAACACCACACCACCACCACCACCACCACCACCACAACAACCCACCACCACCACCACCACCACCACCACCACCACACCACCACCACCACCACCACCCACCACCACACACAACCACCACCACCACCACCACCACACCACACAACCACACCACCACAACCACCACCACCACCACAACAACCACCACCACCACACCACCACCACCACCACCACCACCACCACCACAACCACCACACCACCACCACAACCACCACCACCACCACACCACCACCACCACCACCACCACCACCACCACCACCACCACCACCACCACCACCACCACCACACACCACCACCACCATTACCTCACACACGGGTTATTGTTAACTATCTCTTGTATCTCCTGACCCTTTCTTTTATCTCTTATCCTTTGTCTCTTGTTTAGTGGTTTATTGTCTCTCCTCTTCTATTGTTTATTGTTATGTATCTCTCTTGTTTTGTCCTTATCGGCTTCTCTTGATTCTCTGTGTGTGTGTGTGTATCTGGTTTATCTCTCTCTCTCTCTCTCTACCCTTCCTCATAAAACATCACAGATTCTTCCACTTCTCCCTATCTGTACTAACGACTGCTTCCTCCTTCCCTTATTTGACTCTCCTCTCTCTCTTTCTATCTCTCATCTCCTTCCTCTCTCTCTCTCTCTTATCCATTATCTCCACTTCTTTATCCTCTCCTCCTCCTCTTGTTCCTCTTCCTCCTCCTCCTCTCTTTCTTCTCTTCCTCTTTTCCACCCTTCCTTTCCTCCTCCACCCTTCCTCTTCCTTTCTCCCCTGCTCCTTCCTTTGCCAATTACTTCTATACAGTATCGGGTCCACCTCTTCCATCTCCTCCTTCCTCCCTCCTCTTCTTATTTTTATTCTCTTCTTCTTCCTTTTCTCCTTCTATCTTCCCTCCTCCTCCTCCTCCTCCCTCCTCCTCCCTCCTCCTCCTCCTCCTCCTCCTCCTCTCGTCCTCTCATCCCTTTTTCTACAGTAAAATCCGACTTCCAATTTGAAGTCAATCAGGCGAATACTCTCTCTCTCTCTCTCTCTCTCTCTCTCTGTAGTTACTTCCTCTCTCTATTTCTCTCCTCTATTCTGTGAGCTATTCTTTTCCCCCCTCCCTTGTTCATTCTCTCTAGTTCTCTATTCATCGCCTCCTTCTCTCCCTCCACCATCGTTATCATCCTTTCTCTTTTATGTCTCATTCGCTTTGATTGTTGTGTTTCGCTTCCAATCACCGCCTTCTCTTTCCAATCTTCGTGTTGCCATTCCAATCTTTATTATTGTCGTGTTTTTCTGTCTGTCTGTCTGTCTGTCTGTCTGTCTGTCTGTCTGTCTGTCTGTATGTCTGCTGTCTGTCTGTCTGTACGTCTGTCTGTCGTCTGTCTGTCTGTTTCTTTCTCTAACTTTCTTTCATCTTCCCTCTTTCTTCCTCCTTCTTCTTTTTTCTCCTTCTACTCCTCCCTCTTTCCTCCTCCTGTTTCTTCTTCCTCTCCTCCCTCCTCCTCTTTCTTCCTCCTCTCCCTCCTCCTCTTCTTCCTTCTCTCCCCTCCCTCCCCTCTTCCTTCATCCTACCTCCTCCGTCCTCCTTCCTCCCTCCCTCCTCCTCTTTCTTCCTCCTCTTCTCCCCTCTTCCTCTCCTTCTCCTCCGCCACAATCTCCAGTTATCAATTATTCCGTTTAGTTATCCCGTCGAGAATTAAAGTGATGAATGAATTATTGTCAATATCTTTACTAACTGACGTCTTGGAGGGAAGAGGCGATGGCTATTACATGAGACTATACTGCTACCACTACTACCACCATCTGTACCACTACTACCACCTCATTCCTACCCACCACCACCACCACCACCACACCACCCACCACCACACCACCACCACCACCACCACCACCACCACCACCACCACCACCACACCATTCCTACCACACCACCACCACCACCACACCATTCCACCACCACCACCACCACCATTCCTACCACCACCACCACCACCACCATCACCACTTCCTCACCACCACCACCACCACCACCACCACCATCCTACCCACCACCACCACCATTCCTACCACCACCACCTCACCACCACCACCACCACCACCACCACCACCACCATTCCTACCACACCACCACCACCACCACCACCATCTCCCACACCACCACCACCACCACCACCACCTCCACCACCATCCTACCACCACCACAACCACCACCACCACCACCACATTCCCTACCACCACCACCACCACCATTCCTACCACCACCACCACCACCACCACATTCCACCACCACCACCACCACCACCACCATCATTCCTACCACCACCACCACCACCCTCTCACCACCACCACCACCACCACCACCACCACCACCACCACCACATCCCACCACCACCATTCCACACCACCACCACCACCACCACATCTACCACCATCATCACACACCACCACCACCATTCCCACACACCACCACCACCACCACCACCACCACCCACCACATACACACACCACACCACCACCACATATACACCACCACACACCACCACCACCACTACCACCACCACCACCCCACCACTACACCTAACACATTTCCACCTCTTCCCGACTTTCAACACTTCACCTCCTTTTTCTCCTCTCTCCTTCTCTTATCCTCTCTCCATTTCTCTTCTTCTCCCTCTCTCTCTCTGAGTTCTCTCTCCTGTTCACCTGAAGCTTATTCCTCCATCAGCTTTCTACCTGTCTCTTTGTTTATTGCTGAGGGAAGGATGGGGAGGTGGAGGGAGGGAGAGTAGGAGGAAGGAGGGAAGGAAGGAAGGAGGGAGGGAGGGGTGGTGGAGAAGGAAGGAGGAGGGTGTAGAAGGGAAGGGGAGGGAGAGAGGGAAGGAGGAGGAAAGGAAGGAAGGAGGGAAGGAAGGAAAGGAGGGTGTAGGGAGGAAGGAGTAGAAGGGAAGGAGGGAGGGAAGGGAAGGAAGGGAAGGGAGGGAAGGAAGGAGTCACATTACTAATCGTTTACTTAATATAGTTCCGTCCAACGATCAATTACTTCAATTGATAAAACACCCGTCTGTTTCTTGTCTCCTTACCGTCTATTTACATGAGGTGGATGGACGGGGCTTGACGGTCACACCATCCGTCTCACCGTTGTTGACAAGGGCTCCTGTTGACTGTTTATTAACGGCTAGGTACATGATTCCTGTTGTTGTTGTGTGGCGCTGTTGTTATCATTCCCTGCTAATCTGGGATATTGTGAGATTTGGTGGTGGTATGGCTGCCTGGTGTGGTGAGTGTGGCAGCCTGGAGGTGGTAGTGGGATGGCCGGTGGTGGGTGCTGGCCTCTGTGTGGTGTGTGGCAGCCTGGAGGTGGTGTGACGTCCTGGTGTGGTGGTGTGCCGGCCTGGTGTGGTAGTGTGGCAGCCTGGAGGTGGTAGTGTGACGGCCTGTGGTGGTGCTGCCTGGTGGTGGTGGTGTGCTGCCTGTGTGCTGCCTGTGGTAGTGTGGCAGCCTGGAGGTGGTGACGGCCTGGTGTGGTGGTGTGCGGCCTGGTGTGGTGGTGTGCCGGCCTGGTGGTGGTGCCGGCCTGGTGTGGTGGTGGTAGCATCGGCCTGTGGTGGTGGTGTGCCGGCCTGGTGTGGTGGTGTGCTGGCCTGGTGTGGTGGTGCGGCCTGGTGGTGGTATCGCCTGATGTGGTGGTGCCGGCCTGGTGTGGTGGTGCCGGCCTGGTGTGGTGGTGTGCGGCCTGGTGTGGTGGTGTGCCGGCCTGGTGTGGTGGTGACGGCCTGATGTGGTGGTGTGCGTGTGGTGGTGTGCTGGCCTGTGTGTGCTGGCCGGTGTGGTGTGCCGCCTGGTGTGGTGGGTGTGTGCCGGCCTGGTGTTGTGGTGTGCCGGCCTGGGTGTGGTGGTGTGCCGGCCTGGTGTGGTGGTGTGCCGGCCTGGTGTGGTGGTGCCGGCCTGGTGGTGGTGGTAGTGTGACGGCCTGGTGTGTGCCGGCCTGGTGTGGTGGTGTGCCGGCCTGGTGTGACGTGATGCTCTCGTGTGTCTTCGTGTCTCGGTACACGGCCACAGACGGACAGACGAACACACCGACTTCATAATATTGTTTATTTTCTATAGTGTAATGTCTCTTGTTCCTGGAGAGTGAGGGAGGTGAAGGAGGGTGAAGGAAGGGTGAAGGAGGGAAGGAAGGGTGAGAGAAGGGTGAAGGAGGGTGAAGGAGGGTGAGGAAAGGTGAGGAAGGGTGAAGGAGGGTGAAGGAAGGGGTGAAGGAGGGTGAGGAAAGGTGAGGAAGGGTGAAGGAAGGGTGAAGGAGGGTGAAGGAGGGTGAGGAAAGGTGGAGGGAAGGGTGAAGGAGGGTAAGGAGTACTGAGAGTGGTGGTGGTGGTGGTAGTGGTAGTGGTGGTTGTGGTGGAGTTGTGGTGGGAGTTGTGGTGGTGGTGGTGGTAGTACAGGTAGTAGTAGTAGTGGTAGTAGTGGTAATTGTGGTAGCTCGTGCTTGGCATTTTGTGGATCAGAGTTTGTTAAATATTTGGTGAGTCAGTGAAACACTCAGAGAGGTACTACCACTATCTACCACCACTACTCCTACCACCACCACCATCTACCACCACCTACCACCACCACTACCACCACTACCACCACCTACCACCAGCGGGGTAGGTGGTGTAAAGTTCTCTATTCAATAATTCTGATGATTTTTCCGACTCATGGTAGAATTTTTGTTTAATTTATTATACTCGGCTGTGAGTCGTAGTGAGTTCCTCTGTCTGTGTCTGTCTGTCTGTCTCTTTCCTTGTCTGTATGTTTCTGTGTCTGTATGTTTCTCTGTCTGTCTGTATGTCAAGGTCAGGTCACTTAAGGGTTAGGTTAGGTTAGGTTAGGTTAGGTTGGGCTAGGTTAGGTTAGGTTGCTAGGTTAGGTTAGGTTGGGGTTAGGTTAGGTTAGGTTAGGTTAGGTTGGGTTAGGTTAGGTTAGTTAGGTTAGGTTAGGTTAGGTTAGGTTAGGTTGGGTTAGGTTGTGTTAGGTTAGGTTAGAAGTTAGGTTAGGTTAGGTTAGGTTAGGTTAGGTTAGGTTGGGTTGGTTGGGTTGGGTTTAGGTTAGTTAGGTTAGGTTGTGTTGGGTTGGTAGTTAGGTGTAGGTTGGTTGGTTGTGTTAGTAGGTTTTATTTTGATTTTGTTAATGAAATGAATAATATTAACGTGGGTGTTTTTGTCTCTTTTCATTTAATGATTGAACGCCAACATCCACGCCCACGCCTTGACGCCCACGACTACGTCCATGCTTACACCTCTACGTTGATGCCTACTACTTGTCTACGGCCACGCCCACAGCACCAACGATGCCGCCTCAGAGTGTGGGCGTGCAGCTGACTAACGTGACCACCGCCTCTGTGTTCTGTCCCCCGCCCCCCTACACCGCAATGGTCCTATCACTGCCTACCAGGTGTGTTGTTATAGTGTACTGGTTGTTAGTAGTAGTAGTAGTAGTAGTAGTAGTAGTAGTTTATTATTATTGTTAGTATCATCATCATCACCATCACCATCACCTCCACCATCACCATCATCACCACCACACTAACACCCTCCTCCTGCTCCTCCTCCTTCACCCCCTACAGCTGGAGGTGGTGTCATGACGAGCGGTGTTCCTCTGAGCGTCAACGGGTCTGTTACTTCACTCAAGGTCCACAACCTCACCCTCGGGAACTCCTACCACCTCACCCTCGCCGCCTCCACTGCCGGTCGTGGCCCCTACACCTCACCTGTCTCACTACACGTCGATCCTGTCCTCCTGCACCCACTGGCTAAGGTAGGTGTTGGGTGTGTGTGTGTGTGTGTGTGTGTGTGTGTGTGTGTGTGTGTGTGTGTGTGTGTGTGTGAGTGTGTGTGTGTGTGTGTGTGTGTGTGTGTGTGTGTGTGTGTGTGTGTGTGTGTGTGTGTGTGTGTGTGTGTGTGTGTGTGTGTGTGTGTGTGTGTGTGTGTGTATTTTGTCATGTGTTGTGTGGGTGTTTTTACTACATCATCTCTCTCCCTCCTCATCTTCCCACTTCCTCTACCTCCTCATCCCTCCTTCCTTCCTTCCTTCCTTTCTTTCCCACCTCCTCCCTTACTTCCATCTCCTTACTCTCCATCTTCTTCCCTCACATCTCCCCATTCTCCTCCTCCCCTGCCCTCCCTCCTTCACTTCTCCTCAATCTCACGACCTCTCCCTCTCCACCAACAGTCGGGCCCGTCACTTGCCTCCCTGGACGGTGATGTGTGGGTCATCGGCCTGATAGGAGCTGCTGTCTGTCTCCTGCTGGTGTCCATCGCTACGCTGCTCTTGTGGAGGAGACACGCCAGGAACAAGGCTCTGGGACACGTCGGGGGTGAGTACTGAGAGCCTAGAGCCTTATAGAGCTTTATTTCAGGGATGTTGGGGCTGATTAGAGCTTGTTTTAAGGGTTATTAGAGCCTTTCCTGGGGTGCAAAAATATTAACTCTATTTTTCCTTCAGTGAGGGAGTAATTAAGACATGAGATATAATGATTAAACAAGGCGTAAGGAAGGAGCTGATAAATAGAGAATATCAAGAACAAGGATCAAGGAAATGGGGAAAGAGAAATGGGGAGAAAGAGAAATGAGGGAGAAAGAGAAATGGGGGAGAAATAGTGAAGACGATGAGTGGAAACGTGACCAAGTGTTTATCTCGACCAGTTGATGAAGTCCCCCCCCCACCCAGGGCTACCAACCCTTACCAACGCAAACTACTAACACTATCTACCCAATAATATTCAACAAATCCCTCCAAATCATCAAATTAGCTGTGAATTATTCTATTAATTACTTACCTGATATGGAAAATTAGATTTACCTATTAAATGAGATTACTGGGGAATATTTAACGTTTGTTATGAATTCGGTAATGTTGGCTCCCCTGTTTATGGGCGGAGCCAAATAATTAGGGCCAAGCAGAGGGGCAACGCTTGTTAAAAAAAAGAACAACCTGCCTATTAACGTCTTCAGACTGCCTAGGGGGGTTGAGGACCTCCTGCAGCGCCGTCTACAGGTAGGTTGTCCTGGCTAGATCATTAAGACCCTAAAGTTGGTAGCAAAAGCACTAATGAACCCAAATCATCGAACCCTGGGACCAATAAGACAGACAGACACCAAGCCCAGTAGCAGCGGTGATGAAGTTCTGTATATATTTAATTTTCTCCCTCAAATGTCGTGTGTGACGCCGTGTATAAATGTGACGTTGTATCGATGTTACTCTTAATTCTTTATTATGAGTCGAATTTTTCTTTTCTTGGCTTTAAAAAGTCTCTGGGTGTGGGTGTGTTAGAAGGCTGTATTTAAATTATGTCATTTTTAAACTTACTTCGGTAGAGGCATTTAAAAACCTCGATTATTTGAGATATTAGGTCGACTGAGACATTTATATTAGGTCGACTGAGACATTTATATTAGGTCGACTGAGACATTTATTAGGTCGACTGAGACATTTATATTAGGTCGACTGAGGCATTTATATTAGGTCGACTGACATTTATATTAGGTCGACTGAGACATTTATATTAGGTCGACTGAGACATTTATATTAGGTCGACTGAGACATTTATATTAGGTCGACTGGAGACATTTATATTAGGTCGACTGGAGACATTTATATTAGGTCGACTGACATTTATATTAGGTCGACTGAGACATTTATATTAGGTCGACTGGAGACATTTATATTAGGTCGACTGAGACATTTTATATTAGGTCGACTGGAGACATTTATATTAGGTCGACTGAGACATTTATATTAGGTCGACTGAGACATTTATATGAGGTCGACTGAGACATTTATATTAGGTCGACTGGAGACATTTATATTAGGTCGACTGAGACATTTATATTAGGTCGACTGACATTTATATTAGGTCGACTGAGACATTTATATGAGGTCGACTGAGACATTTTAAGGGTTTTTATTATTGCCTTTGAACCTCATTATTGGGGGACATTTATACATTATTTTATCTGGGTATTTTTAAGGACATTTACTGAGGGCATTTAAACCTGAGAGAGAGAGAGAGAGAGAGAGAGAGAGAGAGAGAGAGAGAGAGAGAGAGAGAGAGAGAGAGAGAGAGAGAGAGAGAGACTAACAGAAAGAGAAACAAACAGAGAGAAAGAGAGATACAACACACACACACACACACACCTACTCACCTGCCAGCAAAACCTCTCATTTCAGAATTGTTGAGACAGTACATACACATTATCAAGCATCGTGTGTGTGTGTGTGTGTGTGTGTGTTGTGTTGTGTTTGTGTTGCTGATGAAGTCTGGCGGTGATACAGGTGTCTCCCTGAGGCAAGTGTTTGAGTTGGTTGAATATTCTTGACTCATTATACCTCCTGTGTGACTTACCCGATGGTGTTAATGAGATGAGGTTAATGAGAAGAGAGGTGTGGTGAGGTTAATGACAAGTGAGGTTAGGTGAAGTTAGGTTAGATTAATTTGTTTGTGTTTGTTATATATATGTGTGTGTGTGTGTGTGTGTGTGTGTGTGTGTGTGTGTGTGTGCCGACCCATCCATCCCCACTCCTCTCCTCTACCACACCCTATCCATTGTCCTTTTCCCTGCCCCATATCCTCCCCCCAACCCCTCTCCTACCTCCAACTGACTTCCTCTCCAGATGACCTCTGACCTGCTTGGCTGGAGGCCAGGTGAGGAGACGGTAAACAAGGTGGCTTTGTTCCCCAGTCCATAACTCCCTTATCTCCCCACCATCTGAGGGGACGACCAGCTGGAATGCCCCAATCCGCCCTCACTCTCTATTCCTCCCCTTATCCTCCTTCTCCTCCTTTCTCTCCTGTTCTCTTCCCCTCTCAATGCATCCCCAACCCTCCCCTCCTCTCCACTTTTTTCCTTCTACTCCTCCTCCTCCTCCTCCCCCTCCTCCTCCTCTCCTTCGCCCTCTTCCCTACCTTTTTATGTGGAGTCTGTTTTTCATGGGTTTCTAATTCCTGTTTATCGATTTGTTGTCTCTCTCCCACATTTCTTCCCTTAATTAAGCTCTTGATGGTTTGGACTGACTGACTTATAGATGTTAACTCTTCTGATAATTGCTTCGTCTTCCCTGTTTTCTGTGTCACGTGCCCTGTTTCCCCCCTTCGTGTCACGTGCCCGTTTCGTCACGTGCCCCGATTTCTGTGTCACGTGCCCCGTTTTCTGTGTCACGTGCCCCGTTTTCTGTGTCACGTGCCCGTTTTCTGTGTCACGTGCCCCGTTTTCGTGTCACGTGCCCGTTTTCTGTGTCACGTGCCCCGTTTTCTGTGTCACGTGCCCGTTTTCTGTGTCACGTGCCCGTTTTCTGTGTCACGTGCCCCGTTTCTGTGTCACGTGCCCTGTTTTTCGTGTCACGTGCCCCGTTTTCTGTGTCACGTGCCCTGTTTCTGTGTCACGTGCCCCGTTTCTGTGTCACGTGCCCTGCTTGTGTCACGTGCCCGTTTTCTGTGTCACGTGCTCCGTTTCTGTGTCACGTGCCCCGTTTTCTGTGTCACGTGCCCCGTTTTTCGTATCACGCCTGCCTTCTGTGTCACGTGCCCTGTTTTTCGTGTCACGTGCCCCGTTTCTGTGTCACGTGCCCTGTTTATGCCTTCTGTGTCACGTGCCCCGTTTCGTGTCACGCCCCGTTTTCTGTGTCACGTGCCCCGTTTTCTGTGTCACGTGCCTTGTCACGTGCCCGTTTTGTGTCACGCCCGTTTCTGTTCCGGCCCTTTCGTTCACGTGCCCGTTTTCTGTGTCACGTCACGGCCCCGTTTTCGTGTCACGTGCCCGTTTTCTGTGTCACGTGCCCGTTTTCTGTGTCACGCCCTGTTTTCTGTGTCACGTGCCCTGCTTTTCTGTGTCACGTGCCCCGTGGCGCCCGCTGTCACGCCCGTTTTGGTCACGCCCTGTTCTGTGTCACGCCCGTTTCGTCACCTCGTGCACGTGCCCCGTTTTCTGTGTCACGTGCCCTGTTTTCTGTGTCACGTGCCCTGTTTCTGTGTCATGCCCTGTTTGTGTCACGTGCCCTGTTGTGTCAGTGCCCTGTTTTCTGTGTCACGTGCCCTGTTTTCTGTGTCACGTTCTGTTTCATGCTAGGTCAGGTTAGGTTAGGTTAGGTTAGGTTAGGTAGGTTAGGTTAGGCTAGTTAGGTTAGGGTTAGGTAGTTAGGTTAGGTTAGGTCAGGAAAGCAAGAGGTTACAGAAGCTTGACTCTCGCTCCCACGACTCATTAGACCAATAATTGCATTTCACGGCTGTTAACCCCAGGCGGTGGTGTTGGTGGTGGTGGTGGTGATGTTGGTGATGGTAGTGATGATGATGGTGGTGTTGATGGTGGTGGAGGTGGTGTTGATGTGTGTGTGTGTGTGTGTACGTCCCTTCTATAGTTAAACTCACCATCACCTCCTCCACCCATCCCTCCCCTCCACCCATCCTCCACCTCCCCTCCACCCAGACCTCCACCCATCACTTCAGGCCCTCTCCACCATCCTCCCCTCCACTCCATCCTCCACCTCCCCCTCCACCCATCACCTCCTCCACCTCATCACCTCCCCCTCCACCCATCACCTCGGCTCCCCTCCACCATTCCATACAGGCCGTGTCGTGTTGGAGCCAGATGACAGACCATTACCGACTTAACGACGGGCGTCCATAAGGGTGAACATGGTTGGGGAGATTCGATTATAGACAGGTAGTGCTCCGCTGTTGCTAGTTGCCTGGTGAGAGGGAAGGGAGAGGGAGGGAGAGGGTGAGAGTGGGGGTGTTAGAAGGGGGAAGAGTGAGGGTGGAGTGAGGGAGAAGGTGGAGGAGGAGATTGTTGGGGGTGTGAAGAGTGGGTGAGGATGGGAGTGGGAGGGAGAGGGAGAGTTAGGTTTGTGAGAGGGGAGAGAATGTGAGAGGGATGTAAGGGGTATGTGAGGATAGAGTTTGAGAGGAAAGGTTGTGAGAGAGAAAGAGAGGGGTGTAAGGTGAGAGAGAGAGAGAGAGAGAGAGAGAGAGAGAGAGAGAGAGAGAGAGAGAGAGAGTAGAAGTAGAGAAAGAAAGAAAAGGTAAAAAAAACTAATAACTCTAACCTAACCTAAACCAAACCACTAAAATAACCCCAAAACGAACGATAACATAGGAAACAAAAAACAAATACGACAAAATAGGGAATAAAGACGAAGAATTAAGACCTGATGGCGACAAATGGATGTTAAAAGACCGGAGATTAAACATTAGAGGCTAGAACTTGAGATGTTTTTGGTTGTTTGTTAAGAAGGAAAATTTAGTAGGAAAAAATGTCTGCCTCTCTCTGTCTCTCTCTGTTCATCCGTCCGTCCACCCTTTCGTCTGTGTCTGTCTGTCTCTGTCTATCGTAACAATTATAATATATAATGTATGAATGCACCATTAAATCTAGGGCCCATTAAAACCTGGGGTCCATTAAGCCCCATTAAGCTCCATTAAGACTGAACCGAAGGTGTACGAGTTCGGTAATCTTGGGGCCCATTAGGCCATGTCCATCAATGGGGGCCTCATGAGACCAATCCCTAATGGGTAAGGACGATGGGGGGGGGGGGAACGCTAATCTTACTACCTCATTAAGTTAAGGACCCATTAGTTCTTGTCCTTACATCCATTACTCTGGTTAAGGGGGAGTCTAGTCTATTATGTTCCTCGGTGAACACTCTCGGCAAAATCCAGATATTCGTAAAATCCGGAAATTCGTAAAATCCGGATATTCGTAAAATCCGGATATTCGTAACATCCGGAAATTCGTAAAATCCGGATATTCGTAAAATCCGGAAATTTTCAACATTTGGAAATTTATAAATAACTAGAAATTTTCATCTACTCCCTCCCCCTCTCCAACCCCCCACTCCACCCCTCCCCCCTCCCCCCTCAGGTCAAACAGATCAAGCAGACTGTCACTACCCGCTCGTGGCACTAAACAGAGGTCATAAATAACCCCTAATGGTGCAACTCCCGGAAGCTGGTATCAAGTATTACCATACTAACTGTTCCAGGGTATATGGTAGGGTTAATTTTATGTAAGTATTGCGGGGGGAGAGAGAGAGAGAGGGGAGAGAGGAGAGAGAGAGAGAGAGAGAGAGAGGAGAGAGAGAGAGAGCAACACAATCATCAGTACACAGGATGACCCCCCCCCCCCATAATAGCTAATGGTCACTTCACAAAGACAATCATTAATAAATTCGCTCCTAATGACCACAATCGTTCGCTACACACTAATTACTATACAATTATCAATAGCTTAATTAATTACATCATTGGGGAAGGTAAATAAGGAATAAATATGATAACAGAAGGAATGGATGAACGTAAATAAGAGTAATTACATATAGAGATTAATTAACAACTATTGAAACACTATATATATCTAATTATCGTAGGTAATTAAGTATAACAATTAATTAACAATAAATATTAGGGGAAATTCATGTTAATATAGAAGAAAAATATGAAAATTATAGTAAATAGAAATAAAAAAATATTGAAATGTGATAATTTAACTCAATATTTAATTCTCAAATTTTTAAAGATATAATTAGATATAAATATAATGAAAAAATATATAAATAAAATTAAAAACAATTAAATATTACAATACAATGGAATAAATCTTAATATTTAATAATACAAAACTACAACATTAGATTATACCATCATCACAGTCTAGGTCCTATCCACTGTTGCCACATCAACAGTCCAGACAACGCCGAATTCTGGGCACCTTAATTGGTAATAGGAGAAGCTACTTGAGGGCGCGAAGCATCTCTCTTAAGTAACCATCTAATCTCCCCTGAGCCAGTCTTAAGCCTCTCTTAAGCCACACAGCTACAACACTGTCTTTAACGTTATCTTAGATGTGGTAGGAGGCTTGATCACATCGCCCAAAAGACGAGAGACATTTGGCAACACCGCGCCATCTTTGTTTTGGTTTACGAGGTTGTAGATGTAAGATAATGAATAATTATATAGCTACGTAATGTTGCTTAATGGCGCGTTGAGGATTATATTACGCTAATGGGGGTAATATAGTCAATGGGTTCAGTTAAATGGAGAGAGTCTGCTTGTTGTTGTTGGAGAAGAGTAACTTAGTGTTTAATAGAGATAATGGGAAGACTTGTGAAATATGTCTCACGTAGGAAACTTGTTGGTGATGAGGTGCTTATGGACGACCAGCGTGATGTGGTCGTTATGGTGAGAGGTACAAAGAGAGGTGTGAGAGGGCGGAGGAGAAGGTGAGAGGGAAGGGGAGGGAAAGAGGTGTGGAGGAGAGATATACAGATAAACGGACGGAGAGAGAGAGTGAGTGAGTAGCAGTAGTAAGGAATATAGAGCCTAAGGGTTAGATAGTGAAACGTGGGTTGAGAAGTCCGTAGAGTTTTACACGTTTTATTATTGTTATTATTATTGTTATTATTATTGTTATTATTATTATTATTATTATTATTATTATTATTATTATTATTATTATTATTATTATTATCGTTGTTGTTATTGTTATTGTCATTGTTATTGTCATTGTTATGTCATTATTATTATTATTGGTGTTATTGTTATTATCATGAAAAGAAGAAAGAGAGAGTATGAAAAGAGATAGAGAAAAAGAGAGAAAAAATAGATAGGTCGAGAAGGAGAGATAGAGACAGCATGAAAATCAGAGAGAGAAAAAAAAGACTTTCTTCCCTCCCCAAACACAACCTTCCCATTCCCCCGTTTTTCCTCCCCTCACTCTTCTCCCCATATCCCCTCACCCCTTCCCCCTATCAGAAGAAAAACACCCGGAACATCAGATCACACACACACATACACACACACACACACACGGAATCTCTGTTTACCGTGACAGACAATCTCTCAGGGGTGTAATCAAGGTTACCTGTCATGTAGACTCCGTGATGGTGTGACGGTCGTGTGTGTGTGTGTGTGTGTGTGTGTGTGTGTGTGTGTGTGTGTGTGTGTGATAGACAGAGGTAAAAAAACAGATAGATAATTTGGTAGATAGATAAAGTGAGAGAGAGAGAGAGAGAGAGAGAGGTACACCTATAACAATAAACACTATAATTAGTCCATGTTACACCTGTATTGTTATAGGTAAAATAAGGTAGGTGATTATATTACTGTTTACACCTATTGTCTACTCTCCTCACCTTGTCTACCCACAGTGTCGGTACATAAGGTAGACAACTTGGGCGTGGGTCTGGCAGCGGGTGACAGCGGCTTGTGGCAGGAGTACGCGGGGTGGCAGCTAGAGAAGGTGTGTGGGGGTGGCGCTAGTGGTCTGGTGGGCGGCGGTGGTGGTCTGGTGGGCGGCGGTGGTGGTGGCGGCGGCGGTGGGTGGCAATTTCTGGGCGGCAAGTGTGATGCTGGCGTATGTGGCACTGTTTCTTGCTTTTGTTTTTTGTTTTTTACTCTCTCTCTCCACTTTAAAATATCTTAATTAAATTTCAATATATATTTTTTTGTAAGAATTCTTGGGCAATTTGTATTTGTTGATTGGTAACCCCTCTCACACCCTCTCACCCATCACACTCATCAACCCCCTCTCACATCTCTCACATTCCCATCACTCCCTCTCATCCCTTCTACCCCCTCTCATCCCCTTCCTCACCCCCTCTCACCCTCCACCCCCTCTCACCTCACACCCCTTCCCACCCCTCTCACACCTTCACTCTCCCCCACAGGTGATGAACACAACAGGTAGCTTGGTAGACTGTGAGCCTCCCACCCCCAGGAGCCTCGTGACCTTCTACAGGGGCCCTGACACTACTGACGGGCCCTACGCCACCACCTCCCTTCTGGCGCCTCACTCCCTCCCTCACCACCAGGTAAGTGGGGCTCACAAGGGCTCACAGGGGCTCATAAGAGTTCATAGAGGTTCATAAGGGTTCATAGAGGCTTATATGCGGCTCACAAAGTCTCATAAAGGCGCACAAAGTCTCACAAAGTCTCACAAAGTCTCACAAAGTCTCATAAAGGCTCACAAAGTCTCATAAAGGCGCACAAAGTCTCAGAACGTCTCACAAGGTTCATAAAGTCTCACAAGTGCTCACAAGGACTCTTATTTCAACTGTTTTAATCTCCCCATATTAATCTCCTCACATTAATCTCCCCATGCATTAATCTCCCCACATATTAATCTCCCCACATATTAATCTCCCCACATTTATCTCCCACATTAATCTCCCCATATATTAATCTCGCCACATTTATCTCCCCACAGTAATCTCCCTATATGTTACTCTCCCCACGTTAGTCTCCCTACATCAATCTCCCCACATATTTATCTCCCCACCCATTAATCTCCCCATACTAATCTCCCCATGCTAATCTCCCCACAGCTCAAGAACCACGTGGAGGAGCACAGGTCAGCGGAGGGCGGGGGAGAGAAGCATAGCCTCGGACACTCTAAGGCTCCTAGTGAGAGAAGCTTCTACACAGGTGAGAGAGAAGGGAGAGAGAGAGAGAGAGAGAGAGAGAGAGAGAGAGAGAGAGAGAGAGAGTATAGTAGAAATTGTCATATATCTTCATAGCTATTGATCGTATTCCGTTTTCTTTAATATTAACCACACTCCGTTTTCTTTAATATTAACCACACTCCGTTTTTAATATTAACCACACCTGTTTCTTTTAATATTAACTACACTCTGCTTTTCTAATATTAACTACACTCCGTTTTTTAATATTAACTACACTCGTTTTTTAATATTAACCACACTGCTTCTTTTAATATTAACCACACTGCTTTTTATTGTCAACTACACTGTTTTCAATATTAACCACACTCCGTTTCTTTTTAATATTAACCACTCTGCTTTCTAATATAACACACTCTGCTTTTTACTATTAACCACACCTGCTTTTAATATTAACCACACTCTGCTTTTTGCATTAACTACCCGTTTCTTTAATATTAACCACACCTGTTTTCTAATATTAAACTTTCACACCTGTTTTCTTTAATATTAACCACACTCCGTTTTCTTAAATATTAACCACATACTCCGTTTTCTTTACGACAACTTCACACCCGTTTTCTAATATTAACCACACTCCGTTTTCTAATATTAACCACACCTGTTTCTTTTTAATATTAACCACACTCCGTTTTCTTTAATATTAACCAAACTCCGTTTTCTCTAATATTAACCACACTCCGTTTTCTTTAATATTAACCACACTCCGTTTTCTCTAATATTAACCACACTCCGTTTTCTTTAATATTAACCACACTCCGTTTTCTCTAATATTAACCACACTCCGTTTTCTTTGATATTAACCACACTCCGTTTTCTTTAATATTAACCACACTCCGTTTTCTTTAATATTAACCACACTCCGTTTTCTTCCTCCAGACGGTACCAACACGCTGCGGCGCCTCAAGGGGGGCCGGCCTCTCCTATCAGCACCCCCCCTGCCTTGCCTCCCTCCCCCTGGGGTAAGTGAGGAGGTCATGTGAGTATTTGTCTTAAGAATAGTTATGATAGATAATTGCCTCTATCTATCTATCTATCTATCTATCTATCCACCCCACTCACCCTCTCCCACTCGCCCACAGCTGCCGGACTCACGGACACACACGCCCTGCTACTGCTCGGCCGCCCACGCCTCCGCCCGGACCCTGAGCGAATCGCCCTACTCGGAGGCGCACTACACGCCCACGGTCTCTGCACGCCACCCATGTTACCCCGTGCGCCCGGACCACGCCCACGCCATCTGCCCCGCCCACGTGTACGCCTCTGCCTCCCCTCTCCCGCCCTACCCGGACAGTGTGGCATCCAGGTGCGTCTATATTAATTAACCCCTCACCTCACCTGTCTGTCTGTCTGTCTGTCTGTCACCTCACCTGTCTGTGTCTCTCACCTTACCTGTCTGTCTGTCACCTCACCCGTCTGTGTCTCTCACCTTACCTGTCTGTCTGTCACCTCACCCGTCTGTGTCTCTCACCTTACCTGTCTGTCTGTCTCATCACCTGCCTGTGTCTCTCATCTCACCTGCCTCTCACCACACCTGTCTGTCTCACCTGTCCACCTCACCTGAGTAATTGATGTCATTATCCACAACTTAAAATTGACGAAGAAAAAAAATTAATTATTTTTTTATTAATGTTTGTGAAATAAATTAATGAGTAATATTCTTGTCAATATTTGTTTGTTTACATTAAATGGTTGATTATATATACCTATATTATACAAGTGTATGGTATATAATTTGGGGGACTTTTATATATTAAGAAACTAATTTGTATTCCTATATCCCCATACCTATAACACCACCTCCTATAACACCACCCCCTATAACACCACCCCCTATAACACCACCCCCTATAACACCACCCCCTATAACACCACCCCCTATAACACCACCCCTATAACACCACCCCCTATAACACCTTCCCTTATATAATTTTCTCCCAAATTACTTAACTATTATTTTTTTCTTTAAATTATCGATATATTTTTGTCTGTGATTAATTTACAAACTTTAGAAATATGTAGTTGTTTCGCTGTTAAGTTTCTCCCTTTATTCTCCCTTAATCTCCCTGGCCTAAACAAACCCTCCCTAGCTCTCCCTTTTTTTAACTCATCCCCTGACCTCCAAACAAAGATACTCTCCCTGACCTCCAAACAAAGATACTCTCCCTGACCTCCAAACAAAGATACTCTCCCTGACCTCCAAACAAAGATACTCTCCCTGACCTCCAAACAAAGATACTCTCCCTGACCACCAAACAAAGATACTTTCCCTGTCCACCAAACAAAGATACTCTCCCTGGCCTCCAAAACGTCATACTTACCCTGGCCTAAACAAACCCTCCCTAACTCTCCCTTTTTTTACTCTCCCTTCGTCACCGTCGTCCAGTAGACCGTCCTTACCGTCACCAGGGGCTCCTCACCATCGCCTGTGTAGGAACTCTGCTGTTTATGAGTCCGCTTCCCTCCAGTATGCTCCTGCAGGATATTACCTCCCCTCCTCCATGGCCTCTTCCTTTACCTCCACCACCTCCGATGCGGCCTCAGGTGAGTGTGTGAGGGAGAGGGGGGAGAGAGGGAGAGAGAGGGGAATAGGGGATGGTGTGGGAGAGAGAGAGAGAGAGAGGTAAGGAAAGGATGGTTGGAAGAGAGAGAGAGAGAGGATAGATGGAAGGGAGGGAGAGACTGTTTGAAGAGGAAAGAAGAGGGGCGGTGTGGGAGAGGGAAGGAGAGGGGGGAATGGGAGGGAGGAGAGAGGAAGATGGAAGAAGAAGAGGGGCGGTGTGGGAGAGGGAAGGATAGAGAGGATAATGGAAGGGAGAAGGAAGGGGAGGATGGATGGAAGGGAGGAAAGAAGGGGACATAGGAAGGGAGGGAAGGAGTGTGAACTAAAGAAAAGGGGATAAGAAGAGGAGATGGGAGGAAGGAAGGAAGGAAGAGAAGGAAGGAGCAAATATAAAAGAGAGAGAGAGAGAGAGAGAGAGAGAGAAAGAGAGAGAGAGAGAGAGAGAGAGAGAGAGAATATGAAGAAATAATTATGACATCACGTGACCTCACATTACCTCACCTCTCCCCTACAGGTGTGTCAGTCAACTCGGACGTAGAGAGAGGAGGGGTAGAGAGAGGGGTCCAGAGTTCTCTACCTTCTCTCACCTATGAGGCACTTAAGGCTCTGGGCGAGGACATAGAGGCATTCAGGCAGCTCCACCAACTCACAGGTCAGTGCCACACACCTGATTGGTCGACAGGAAGGTGATAAAGGTACGTGATTGGTTGATATGTAGTGGAGAGGTTGCTGATTGGATAGTGTGTAGAGAGAAAGATAATGATTGGTTGATGGGTGGAGAGAAAGGTACGTGATTGATTGGGTGAATGTAGAAGAGGCTCCTCATTGGATGGTGGCTGTACAGGGCGTTGCTGATTGGATGGTTGAAAAGAAGTTGCTGATTGGATGGTGGTTGGAGACGAAGGTACGTGATTGGTTGGTGAATAGAGGAGAGGTATTTCATTGGTCAATAGATTGATGAGAGATATATGGCTGGTCGGTGTGTATTTTTACATGTACGTGTCTGTATGTATGTATATGTCTGTCTACCAGTGTATACATGTGTGTGTAAATTTAGAACTATACAGGATAATAGTTATTAGCCATTCTATCGTATGTATGTATGTATGTATGTATGTATGTATGTATATATGTATGTATGTAGGTATGTAATGAACACACACACACACACACTAACTAAACCTATTAAGATGATAGTTTAAATTATCTATGGTTTAACCCCTTAAGACCAATAGTTAAACCCCTTGCGTACGATAACTTAAACCATCAACAGTTTTAAGCTGGTTTATCTTAACTGCCTCAGATAATTCTCTTCATCATAACTTTTACCATTACAAGTCTCCCGCCATAGAGACGATCACCGCCCGGGAGACTCACTATGTAAATTAGATCACAGGTAAATGATCTTTGGGGGTGTGTGTGTGTGTGTGTGTGTGTGTGTGTGTGTGTGTATGTGTGTGTGTATTCTCACCTCACCTCCTCACAGATGAGGACAGTATGAAGCCAGGTTGGGGAAGCTGCCAGCCTCAGTAGGGGGAGAGATGGTCACCAGAACGAGGGGGAGTCATCCAGCAACCCCCACCCACCTTCGAAGCCCCGCTCCCCCACCTGCACCACCGTCCACCGCCCATCAGACCGCCCACACCACCACCCACGCCCATACCCATCCTCACACCCACACCACCACCCACTCCACCCACTCCGCCCATTCCCACTCCAGCCACACCTCCAGCCATCTCCCTAATGGCCCTCTGGCGGGAACCTTGGCTCCAGGAGGGTCACTGCCGCCCCTGGAGGTGGGTGTGGCGCCCCTAGAGGAGGCCGAGAGTGACTGCCTGGAGGAGGAGGTGGAGGAGGAGTGTTCTGGGTGCTCCTGCTCCTGCTCTGAGGCTGAGTCGTCCTTGTACGCTGAGACGGAGTTCGCTGAGGAGGTCCGTGCCAGCCTCGAGGAGCCTGGTGGGGTGAGTATCTTCCTGGAGGAGGGGCAGGAGGAGAGGGGGGAGAGGGGGGAAGGGGAGGAAGCAGGATGGGGAGGGGAGCAGGATGGGAGGGAGCAGGATGGGGAGGGAGCAGGATGGGAGGGGAGCAGGATGGGAGGGAGACAAAGTAAATGACAATCAAGAGAGGAGGGAGGGAGAGGGGGGGTGGTAAGAGGCGGAGGGAAGAGAAACTATCTAGGGTAAGAAGACAGAGAAAGTGGAGGAGAGATAAAGAAAGAGAGAGAGGGAGAGGGGAGAGAAGAGGTATATGACTATCTAGGGATGGGGAGAGAAAATGGGAAGGGGAGAGAGGTAAGATATGTGACCATCTAGGGAGAGTAAAGAGAGGGAGAGAGTGAGAGGGAGAGAGAGAAGGAGAGATTTACTTAAAACACACACTAACAACTGAAGCAATGGTCGTTCTTGTTAAAATTAATACTCTCTCTCTCTCTCTCTCTCTCTCTCTCTCCAGCCTGACAATTCAATTCACACTTTTACTCAGCCAAATCTTTTTTAAGTTGTTGTATGACATATCCTTTCAGACTCTCGCTTGACGTCTGCCAGGAGTCCGTTTACCAATACCCTTCACACTCTCATTTGACAGCCGGCTATTGACTTGCTATTGACATACACTTTTAGATTCTGATTTGATATTATATTTTTTTTAGGGGAGGATGGGGATCTATAATGTATTCAGGAACTCATTTGACTTAATGTGTGTGTTATTATTATTATTATTATTGTTGTTGTTGTTATTATTATTATTATTACAATTTTACATATGTTTAAAGACTCATTTGATTCTTATATCATTTATCTGCTATCTAGACTCTCATTTGACACACTACGGTATATTTCAGCTAATAAATAATAATAAACAAACTCTCCGGACGCTCATTTGATTAATGTTCAAACGTTTTCTCTTGATTTATAGACTTTCATTTGATTCTCTCTTATTTGACCTTGTTAATTAAAATCTCAATTGACCATCCTCACCCCCTCCCTCCCTCACCCCTCCCTCCTCACCCTCCCTCCCATCCCTCCCTCCCCTCACCCTCCCTCACCTCCCTCCCTCACAGAGTACCACTAACCCACGCTTCTTCCTCACCCACGCATCAGGCAGGGGCGGGCGGTCGTGGGCGTGGTGGGCGGCGTCACAGACATAAGCGTCGGCCAGTCTCCACCTACAGCACTGACAGTAATTATATGCCGCCCGAGTCTCCACGTAAAGGTGAGAGACATTGAGAGACACACCTGTTAGAGAGATAATGGGAGACACACCCCTGTTAGAGAGATAATTGAGAGACACACCTGTTAGAGAGATAATTGAGAGACACCTGTTAGAGAGATAATTGAGAGACACACCTGTTAGAGAGATAATTGAGAGACACACCTGTTAGAGAGATAATTGAGAGACACACCTGTTTATGAGATATTTTTTGTGAGTTGTGGACCTGTAAGACTTTTTTGAGACACCTGTTGTGAGACTTTGAGAGATACACCTGTTTAAGAGACACTTTTGAAGGACAATTTTGAGAGACCTCCTTTATTTCCCTCTTTATTCACTCTTCTTCCTCCTCTTTCATCATTTTCTTCCTCTCCTCCACTTCCTTGCCTCTCTTTTCCCTCTTCCTTTCCTCCTCTCTCTCTCTTCACCAATCCATTATCCTCCCTTAACTCCCTCCCTCCCTCCCTCATTATTTCCTTCCCCCCTCTCCCCCTTTCTCCTTCTTTTCCTTCCTCTTTCTTCCTCCCTTCTTCCCTTCCTCCCTCCCCTCTCCCTCTCCAACACCTCTTTGATGTTCCTCCACTTCATTGCCAGTCTTCATAAATACCATTAACAATATTATCAACACGAATACGATATAATATGACAAACGAACGATAATAATTGAAAATAACTAATAAAAATCACCTCTAAAAATATATTTTCTCGAAACGAACAAAAACATAAGAAATAAATAACTAAAAAAATTACATCTAAATAATACGAAAAAAAAATATGAAAATTAAGATCATTAAGACGAAACAACGTGGAAAAACGAACGAAAACCAGAGAAATATTAACGAGGAGGTGTAGTTTAACCCATTGCCTTGTGTCGTGATTTATCCCCCAATATTTCAGTGACTTTTGTTCAGCGAGGATCAGTGTATATCGTCTTTTCTTCTTCTT